AGATTTTTATGAAGAGCTTATTTGCTGATGAAATTAATTTTAGAGGGCTAAGTTGCTTATTATACTTTTAGAAAATGTAGTCAGCGTATTTACTATTTAGCACAACTTCAATAATTTAGATCTTTCCAAAAGTTGAGAAAAGGCACCTAATTAGACATGTGTCCGCTGCAATGGTTGTCGGGGGAGTCCATCGGAGTAGTTTGGCAGCGCTCTTTTGAGAAATTAAGTACAAATATATATAAAAAGACTATGATATATATGAGTAGATGTTATTTTAAACTTAGAAGATATAAATATTTATTAAGTTTATGGGCAATTATATACATATATATTTATTGTATCTTTTAAATTTATTTCTCCATCATATGTAAGCTTTTTACATTTCTTAAAATAATGATTAATATAGTCTTGAATTTAACACATTTCACATAATATTTATTAAAAAATTATTATTTTTAAATTTAAATTCAAAATAAAAAATTTTAATTATAAAATTTAGTAGTTAAATTAATAAATTTTTAATAAATATATTGAATCAGAAAATATTCAACCATTTTCCTATCTCTTAAGTTCACCTCAGCTGTAAAGCCTTTACTCCAACAGTGTTAACTGCTAAGAGCACCTTGGATTCCTGATTTTGATTAGCTTTCGAGGTGTAGGAATCACCCTAACTTGTTAAAAAGCCCATATCTCCCAAATTTCCTTCTGTTAAAATTGATGAAAAAGGTGCAAAGTAGTTCAAAACATAGATGACAGTGGATAAATTTGAAGGAAAATGATATAATTATTCCTCTATTCTATATTATTAGTTGTTTTAGCTAATTTCACCAGGAAATTAATTAGTTATTTTTAATTTCATCAATAAATGCATTTAAAGCACAATTTCACCCTTATTTGCCAACATAATTTCCTCACGCATTACAATTTATCTCCCGCCAATCCTTTTTTCTTTTTTTTTTTTTATAGTTAATGATTAATATATCCTTAAGTTGAACATACTTTACAATACATTCATTAAAAAATTATAATTTTTAATTTTGAATTAAAGTGAGAAAATTTAAAATTGTAGATTTAATAATTAAACGGATAAGTGCTTGTGGGTGTGTAAAATCAGAATTTGTGCTAATCATTTTTCTTTTTTTATATGTCCTGATATGATCAAATTATAAGCTTTATTCACGAAATTTCATAATTACATGCATAGAATATTATGTGATATTTGTATCAATTAAAACTCAATTTAAATAAATTATAATCGAGTTTTTCTTAAACTACATGTTAAAAGTATAATAAATATATTTTTTATTATTTATTTACATAGGAAGTGGCCCAAAGGGGTGATTTACCGTGTAAGAGCCTGAAATTCCAAACTTGAGATCTTGGATTCAAACCTTGAGTTGGATAGGGAGGGATTTGGGAAAAGGAAGGGCTATCCCCTCCTAATATCAAGTGTACCAAAAAAAGAAATCATAAAAGTTATTCTTTATTTAAGTATCATTCACATGTGTATGATTTTAATTGATAATTAATTAAATCAAAATCAATGTTTGTATTTCTATGAATTAATGGTAAAAAATATATTTATTATATATTGAAGGCACATTGTAAAAAAACCCAATTAGTGATTTTACACTTTAAATTGCATTAGAGTATAAAATTTAGGACCTTTAAATAAAAAACACTAGCATTAGAACCTTTAAATAAGAAACACTAGCCTTGATCTAATAATTAGTTTTATCTAGTTCAAAATAGTCTAGAATGCATAAAATATCTCTGCCTATAAAAATACTTGATATATCCTCTAATTTAATATATCTATCAATATTTATTAATTCAATCATTGAAATCTAAAACTTTAAATTTTTTCATCTTTAACTTAAATTTAAAAATAATAATTTTTTAATAAATATATTGTAAAATATGTTAAATAAAAAAGTAAATGTATCAGTGTACAATTTTTTAGGACACTCAATTGAGTTAAATTTGTGGCCCGTGGGACATGTTATGTAACCGTCATGAGGTACAAGTGTTGAGCATTAAACATGGTGTCCCCTCCCAATTCTTGCCTATGATTGATCACATCAAGAAGAATATGAATCAATTGTGGTCATCTTTCCATATGATCTTCAATTCAAAAATGTAAAGATAAATAAAAGAATTGAAGAAACTATATAGACAAAAAGCATATAAACGTCGAATCTACATATTAAAATACACAAATAACAGCGAGGGGAGCTACTATAGGACAAGGGGCAGCAGCCCCCCTAAGTTTTCGAAAATTGTTTAATATGGAACATTAACTTTAGTTTAGTATAAAATTTGTTTTTGATGTTTGAATTATAAGTATTATTTTAAATCTATAGAAAACATTTAGGACCTAATGTTTAAAAAAAAAATTAGGACTTAGGTAGATCTGGACTACTACTTTCTTTGTGACCAATTTTTAAGAGAAATAATTTTATATTGCCAAAGAAAAAAAAATAAAAATAGCCAAAATCAAGTTTTATTAGGGTGACCTCTATAAGATTTACACTAGTTGTGATCTTTATATAATTTATATTTTATCAAAGCAACAGTTAGTTAGTTTTGATATTTTATTTATATAAATCATAAATTCTAAATTTAAAGTTGAGTTAATATATGTAAATATATGAAAAAGGAAACTATGTATATTTTATATGAGATTAGTGTGAAATCCCTAGACTTGCAAAAAAAAAAAAAAAAAAAA